GAGGATTGGAGGCACAGTGGGAGCCTGTCAGGTAGGGGCAGGTTCTGGGTTCCACTGGTTTTGACCTGTGTCCCATCTCTCTTACCCCAAAGGGCAAATAGGACTGCTGTCACAGGGTACTCTCCAGGTCCGAGCCCAGTTTCCTGCTCAAGGTGGAGTAAATAATAGAAGGGCAGTTGAGTTTTCCAGTGTGATGTCTCTGTCTTGGTGCCTCTCCAGGGGCAACCAAGACACGTGGCAAGACAGCTACATGTTGTGACCCCCAAGAGAAGAGAAGAAGGGTTCTGGTACTGCAATCTGAAGGGAACAGCCAGTCCACGCTCTTCCTGAGCTCTCTCCCCTAAGGAAGCCTTGACTGAGTGTTGTTTTTATTTAGGCAGCAGAGATGGAGGCAGCACATGGAGCAGAAGGAAAAACGGAATCTGAGAAGGCAGAGTAAGTGCTCGGTAGCATGAACCCTAGTGACTGTCGTAGCGCTAGTTTATTTTGTATTCTTTATGGGCTTGAACTCAGGGCCTCACATTGGCTAGGCAGATTCTTTACCACTTGAGTGATGCCCTTCTTGTCTTAGGTTTCAGGTAGGGTATCACTTTTTGCCATGTCTGGCCTTGGACCAAGATCTCTTACCTTACCTCCTGCATAGCGGATCACAGGCACCTACTGGTGTACCCAGCTTGTTTGTTCAGATGTCATCTCACTAACTTTTTTTGCCCAGGCTGGCCTTGAACCATGATCCTCCTGATCTCTGCCTTCTGAGTAGCTGGGATTACAGGTGTGAGTCTCTGTCCTGGCCAGTAGGTAGTTTTCCATAGTGTCTACTAGTCTATTGCTGTAGTAAGGAGAAAAACCTGATTTCAAGTAATATAAACAACAGCTTATACTGAAAGCCCAAGACATACTTCTTTTCACTTTAGAGTAAGTTCTCTAAGACACTTACTACATTTATCTTATTAACTTTAATCCCAGTAAATCAGTCAGGGCATCACTGTTTAGACGAATGAATTATCAAGCTGTACTTAGCAACTTTGGTATCACGTTGATGATGGTAGCATCTATTATTTATTGACTAGCTATTCGCATGTCAGGCCTGTTGCTAAACTCTTCTACAAAATATCTCATTTATTCTTGCCACAATCTTAGAAGACTAAGTAGTATTGCTCCTCTCAAGAAGGCCTCCTTCTTGAAAAGAAAGGACACTTTTTCTGAAGGAAAAAATTCTTAAGTCTAATTTCAGGAGAAAGTTGCGTATCGTCAATGTGTACCTGCGATTATGGAGTGTGGCCACCACTCATGAAACATGAATCTGATGTCCAGCCACCATTAACCAACACATCCATCTTCTGCCCCTCTCAACTCAGATTTCTGACTTAGTCTCTTTCTGGACCTTCCTGACCTCTCTCCTCCCCTACTGAGTGGGTTTCTCATCCATGTAGCATGGAAGACAGAGAAAAGGAGGACAATGTCAAAGAAGAGGGGCAAGTGGAGCCCCTGTGGGCAGCAGGGACAAAGAAGAAGAAGCGGCGGCATGGTCAGAAGGTGGAGAAGCCTGAAGCCTTCATGGCCAATTTCTTTAAAGGGATGGAAGTCTATCAGACCAAGTTGCTGGTAAGGCCCCCTTCTGGGGGAAGTATTGGCCCAGGCAGACTGTTGGTTAGTTATGCTCCTTCCCCTTGCTCATTCCTCCTCTTTTTCTCTTCTCATTTATTTGCCTGTTCCCTTTGTATTGGAGGAAAAGAAAGGGAGTTAGCCAGAAAACACTGCAGCCCTCCACACCTCTACCATCTGGCTTGCTTGCGCAGGGCTACAGGGATGCAGAGGTCTTTTCAGGGCTGGCTCTCCCATAATTTCCAAATAGACTACTTCCTATAAGGAGTGGTCATGAAAACTCATAGGACTTTATAGCAGGCTTTCCCCTCTGCTGGTGGCACATTTAAGCATTTGGTTCTTTTGAAGATGGGCAGAATTCTTTTGAACATAATTCCAAGCAACTGTTTTAAAAATCATCATTTCTTCTCCTCCCCCCACCCTAAATAAATTGGTGCCTGTGTTAGAAAAGCTAGATGGCCCAAGAGGAGCAGCCATGACAGAGTGGCTCCCTGTGAACTTCTAACCAGAACTTCCGTGAACCGGGTGCTTGCTCTCCCTTCCAGATCTCTTCTACCTCTGCCTGTCCTTTCCTTTTCAGCACTACCTGGCCAGGAATTTCTACAACCTGCGGTTCCTTGCTCTGTTTGTAGCCTTTGCTATCAACTTCATCCTGCTCTTTTATAAGGTGATACTTCATTCAGAGGTTATTGCCAAATATGTTGTATACTATATATAGGAAAACTATAACTATAACAGAACTTATGCTCCCAAATACAGCAAAACTTCTTATCTATGAGATTTCTATGGCACTGACTTCTAAAAAGTATACAGCCAGGGGAAAGATGGGGACAAGCTGACAAGAAAAGTGAATTGCAGAACTACATCAACAGTCGAGGCTCTGGGCTGGGGATGTAGCTCAGAGCTAGAGCACTTGCCTAGCATGTGCAAGGCCCTGGGTTCGAGCTCCAGCACCATAAGAAAACAAAACAAAACAAAACAAAACAGTCGAGGCTCATTTTCATTGTTACTTCACTCAGTCCCCAAGTAAGGACTGAGCATCCACTATGTGCAAGTCCCTATATTAGGAATTATGAGGTATTTCACAATGAATAATAAATGCAGTTCTTTTCTTGAGGAATAAGATAGTTGAGAGTTGTTATAGTTAGCTCATGTCTTAAAACCACTATGAAGGAAGAATTAATGGGAGCAGGAGGAGAGGTACTGGTCACAATAAAGATTTTGAACATGGGCAAGTAGATCTTCATAGGCATGTCATAGTCATTAATGGAATGAATTAAAGAAAGATCCGAGAGTCTTGACACTGTTTGTCACTGGCTTTTCTATGCTTGGGTCTCTCCTTTCCTACTTAAAACCAGCCATCTAGTTTTTATAAAGCACTGACTGTTTTATTCACATCAACCTTCCACTTGACAAACTGTCTTTCTGTTGCCCACAGAAGGAAAATGGAAATCTGTAGCCAGGTATATAGGTTGGTTTTAAACATATAGAGGTTGAGGTGACTCCAGACAGCCCCAGGCAGCTGGAGCTGTAGGACAAAAGCCTCAAAGGTATAGATCTGAGAGTCATCTATGTGGGGGAAGTGGAGGCCATGACAGTAAATGGAATCTCAAACAATGGAGAACACTGTGTGTGCACGCATAAGCCTGTGTGTGCTTATGCTTACACAGGTCCTTGGCTCAGCTGCCCCTCAGTACACCATTTCAAAGATTACCTGTCATGGCACAATTATAGCATGTAGAATAAAAGGTCCCTGGCTTAAATGTTTTGTTTTCTTTTCAAGAGATAGGTTTTGTCTGTTCTTAATTTTTACTTGCAATTGTTGGAGATACTGGGGGATTCTTAGAAGTAAGTTTCCTAAAAGCCTCATTTATTCAGCAAGTAATGCTGAGCTGACTATATAAAATGTGTGAGGACAGCCCAGTGGCTGATGTTTATGAGTGAGTGTGTGTCTTGGGTCAGGTCACTGAAGAGCCTTTAGAAGAAGAGACAGAGGATGTTGCAAACCTGTGGAACTCCTTTAATGACGAGGACGAGGACGAAGCGATGGTGTTCTTTGTCCTTCAGGAGAGCACTGGGTATATGGCACCCACGCTGCGCGCCCTGGCTGTGGTCCACACCGTCATCTCTCTGGTCTGCGTGGTGGGCTATTACTGCCTGAAGGTAAGCTGCCTGTCACCCTGAGTCCAATCTGACTCCTTGTGAAAGAAGTGCTGCGTTGAAGCTCAGCCAGCCTTTTGTTCTCTAGGACTTTGCCTGCAGGGTAAGGCTCTTGGAACATTAGCACTAGCTTTACTTAGAGCCGCTTACAGCTGCAGAATCTTGGGCGCCACCCCAGGCCTTTTAAATCAGTCTACCAGGTGACTTGTATGCACAGCCACATTTGAGGAGTCCCAATTCTGACACTGATAGTTGGATTTCATGGCATCTGACTCATCAGGCTAAGTCAGAGGGAAGTTGGTCATAGAGACTCTTCTGATCTTTGAATTGATGTTGGAATTTCTCATTAGGTTGTACCGTTTGAGATGTGAGAAGAAACCTCACTGATTTGTTATTGTGTCAGATATCTATTGCTACGTTATAAACCACCCAAAACTGCAGCTTAAAGCCATCATTTTGTCCCTCAGATTCCCAGGACAGACTGGGTACACTTAGCAGTTCCCCTGACCCATGTGACAAAGCCATGTCTGCAACCACCTGGGAGCTCAGCAGGGTGAGAATGACCAACCAACATGGCACATTCTTCTGCCTGGCACCCTGGAGGAGAGCAGCTGGAGGGCTGGGCTCAGCGGGGGTAGCTGAAGCCTCTCTCTCCCTCTCTCCATGTAGACTCAGGGTGTGTTCCCTTTCCACGTGAGCTCTGACTTCTTGTGTGGATGGCTTAGGTTTTTCCAAGAAGAACACAAAAGTGGGAACTGCTAGTCCTTTGTAAGGCTCAGGCCCAGAGCTAGCACAGTGTTGGTGTCATTTTCCCTGACACATCCTGTTGACTGAAGCAAGTCACCTAAAAGCTCAGATCCATTACTGCATTTGAAGGCCCCACAAGGACACGGACACCAGGAGGCTTTGTTCATTTGGGCCATCTTCAGAACTACAACAGTTAGACAGTCTTCGGCCATCATGTGTTTATTCTTACATTTTTTTCTTACTTTTTATCGTTTTTACATTTACTTATATATGTGTATACTTTCTCTTACTTTTTAAAGCAGGAAGTCTCCTTGACTATATACCAAGTCATCTTTCTAGAAAGAGTCCAGGAAATTTATTATTACCCTTTGACCCTTTCTTCCCCTAGAGAACTGAGTACAGTAGGTAGTCCAGCTAGCCTGCTAGAGACCTTATGTCCTGGGCCACACCAAAGGCTCCATTCTAACTTTGAAAGCATGGATTCTGGAGCCAGGGTGCCTGGTTACATTCAGCCCTCCCACTTAACCTCCCAGGTGCTCCGTCTCCTCACCTGTAAGGCTGAGTATTGTAACACTTAAGATCTGGGAGATTGAATGAGTTAATTATGTAAAAGTCCTCAGCACACTAGACAGAGTAAGCTGTAGAGCATGTTAGCTGCTCTTCCTGATCTAAAATCCTGGAGTTCAGCTTGTTGGATGCAGTGCAGATAGACTGGTAACCTAGAGAAAACAAAACGGAAATACGATATAGTGAATAAAAATGTAAAGGTTCTACGGACAAGTGTGTGCAACTCCTGGAAGGCTGATGGGAAAACTTGGGAGTCCCAGAGGTCAGCTCTGGTCTACATTGTGGTGTCACTTTAGAGTCCTTTCTAAACACAGAAGACATCAGTCACAGTGGCCTTAGCTCAGCTCCCCATCCCATCTTCCATTAGCCTGTAGCCCTCAACTCCCCAGTGTTGTTTGTTGTTTTAAGGAAAAATCAAGAAGTTGCTTTTTACTAATCATTATTTAAATGTGCCTGTATGGTTTGGAAATAAAGGAGCAATATGGGGTGAGTGCATATAATGAGTTTTGAGAAGAATTACTGAAAGAAAGTTTGGAGACTAATGACCCAGGGATGTTGCCAGGTAACTGTTGTTGTCCCAAGTGGATGGAAAGCCCAGGCTGTGTGTGAATTAAGCTTTTTGTTGGCTAGGTGAGCTCTGGCTGTTGGCTTCTCATTTCCTAAGATTTCAGCAATATGCTGACTTCAGTGACTGTACCCTATATTTGAGGTATATTTGTGCTTAGTTGGGATGAGTGAATTTCCCTTTGTGTGTTCTCCTTTGGTGGCAGATCTTTATATCCATGTTACCATATCTAGTCTGAAAGTTTTAATTATGACAGTACCCCTTATCCATAGTTTCAGTTGCAGCCAACTGCAGTCCAAACTATCACATGGAAAATTCCAGAAATAAACTCATAACTTTTAAATTGCATGGTATTCTGAGAAGTGTGATAAAATCTCGTGCCATCCCACTCTGTCTCATCTGGAGCATGGCTCATCCCTCTGTCCAACATGTGCTCGTCCCTCTGTCCAGTGTGTACATACCATGTAGATCACTCATCCATTGGTCTCTTAGTTGCCCTTTCAGTTATCACCTTGACTATCAAGGTATCACAGTGTTTGTGATCAAGTAACTCTTATTTAGTAATGGCCCCAAAGTACAAGATGCCGGCATTTTGGATGTACCAAAGAGAAGCTGCATAGTGCTTCCTTTAAGTGAGAAAGTGACAGTTCCCAACTTAATAAGGGAAGAAAAAAAATCATGTGCTGTTTGGTAAGATCCACAATAAGACCAATTCTTCTACTCATGGAATTGTGAAGAAGGAAAAAGAAATGTATACTATTTTTGCTATTAAACCTTGGGCTGCAAAAGTTACTGCCACAATGTAAAATACATGCTTTCATTAAGATGGAAAGTCATTAAATTCCTGCTTGTTTAGCTATGGGAAATAGTATCTATAGGGTTTGTGTCTATCCATGGTTTCAGGCATTGACGGGGATGCCGGTCATCTGCTGAATAAGAGACCAGGGAATAATAGTAGGAAACAAATAAGTGTGTTGCTGCCTGGCCAGAGCTCTTTATAAAAAGAAGAAAAATTTAATTCCAAAGGACCATGTAGAGTCCTCTGAACCCGCTCATTTCATCAGACCTGGTTTCATGAATATTGTGACAATGAAATGACCCGGGCCATTGAAGGGGCACTTTGACATATTCCTGACGCTGACCAGTCGAGTGTAGAATAACCTTATCATCCTTTCTTAGTTTTGGTTCAGCTCTCAGCCTTGGTTCTGCCCTGGGGCGCATCTGAACATGGCCTTCCCACTAGAATGGGTCAAGGAGACTAGCTTATATTGATATCTGCTTTTTAAACAAAACCTTACAGGTGCCCATGTCAGAGGGATGGCATATTAGCCAAAGGAATGAGAAGGGACTTATTTGGTATTGGCCCCACAACTAGGTACCCTGAGGATCCCAGTAAGGTTACTGCCCTGAAGCTAGAATATTAATTTGTGACAAATACCTGGAAGGTGCTTTTTTGTTATTATTCATATGTGCATACAAGGCTTGGGTCATTTCTCCCCCTCCCCTGCCCCCTTCCCTTACCACCCACTCCGCCCCTCCCTCTCCCCTTACCCCTCAATACCCAGCAGAAACTATTTTGCCCTTATCTCTAATTTTGTTGTAGAGAGAGTATAAGCCTTAATAGGAAGGAACAAGGGTTTTTGCTGGTTGAGATAAGGATAGCTATACAGGGAGTTAACTCACATTAATTTCCTGTGCGTGTGTGTTACCTTCAAGGTTAATTCTTTTTGATCTAACCTTTTCTCTAGTTCCTGGTCCCCTTTTCCTGTTGGCCTCAGTTGCTTTTAAGGTATCTGCTTTAGTTTCTCTGCGTTAAGGGCAACAAATGCTAGCTAATTTTTTAGGTGTCTTACCTATCCTCACCCTCCCTTGTGTGCTCTCGCTTTTATCATGTGCTCAAAGTCCAATCCCTTGTTGTGTTTGCCCTTGATCTAATGTCCACATATGAGGGAGAACATATGATTTTTGGTCTTTTGGGCCAGGCTAACCTCACTCAGAATGATGTTCTCCAATTCCATCCATTTACCAGCGAATGATAACATTTCGTTCTTCTTCATGGCTGCATAAAATTCCATTGTGTAAGTACCACATTTTTCTTAATCCATTCGTCAGTGGTGGGGCATCTTGGCTGTTTCCATAACTTGGCTATTGTGAATAGTGCTGCAATAAACATGGGTGTGCAGGTGCCTCTGGAGTAACCTGTGTCACAGTCTTTTGGGTATATCCCCAAGAGTGGTATTGCTGGATCAAATGGTAGATCAATAGTTAGCTTTTTAAGTAGCCTCCAAATTTTTTTCCAGAGTGGTTGTACTAGTTTATATTCCCACCAACAGTGTAAGAGGGTTCCTTTTTCCCGCATCATCGCCAACACCTGTTTTTGTTGGTGTTGCTAATGGTGGCTATTCTAAAAGGTGTGAGGTGGAATCTTAGTGTGGTTTTACTTTGAATTTCCTTTATTGGTAGAGATGGTGAGCATTTTTTCATGTTTTTTTTGGCCATTTGAATTTCTTCTTTTGAGAAAGTTCTGTTTAGTTCACTTGCTCATTTCTTTATTGGTTCATTAGTTTTGGGAGAATTTAGTTTTTTATATATATTCTGGTTATCAGTCCTTTGTCTGATGTATAGCTGGCAAATATTTTCTCCCACTCTGTGGGTGTTCTCTTCAGTTTAGAGACCATTTCTTTTTGATGAACAGAAGCTTTTTAGCTTTATGAGGTCCCATTTATCTATAGTTGCTGTGCTGCTGGGTTTCGTTGAGAAAGTTCTTACCTATACCTACTAACTCCAGAGTATTTCTACTCTTCCTGTATCAACTTTAGAGTTTGGGTCTGATATTAAGATCCTTGATCCATTTTGAGTTAATCTTGGTATAGGGTGATATACATGGATCTAGTTTCAGTTTTTTGCAGACTGCTAACCAGTTTTCCAGCAGTTTTTGTTAAGAGGCTGCTATTTCTCCATCGTATATTTTTAGCTCCTTTGTCAAAGACAAGTTGGTTATAGTTTTGTGTTATATCTGGGTCCTCTAATCTGTTCCACTGGTCTTCATGTCTGTTTTTGTGCCAGTCCCCATGCTGTTTTTTTGTTATTGCTTTGTAATATAGTTTGAAGTCAGGTATTGTGA